ACACGTGTGTCTGGGTTCTCGCGGCTACCCAAGCACCACTCGAACAAGTCCCCTCTTCCCCACTCTCGGCCTCTAGACATCACTTTGGACCACGGCGCTCCAGCGCAGTGACGTGTGCTCCGAAGTCCAACTTCTTTCCATCTATTTTCCGTTCCCTGTGTACACAATAAACTATTCCTTCTACTCTGGCCTTCCCAAGACTTCTCCCCTCTCCTAAGGAACCGGGCCTGGAGGATTGTAGCTGTTAGGGTTAACCGTCTTAACCTTAACTTCTATACTACCAGCTCAAAAGTGTTTGATTTATTGTTGTTACGCGTTCATGGACTGCATAAGATCCGGAAAAAGCAATTAGCCAAATCAAGAGTACATTTTTCCACTACAGGATTTATAAGAAGAAGAAGAAGAAGAAGAAGAAGAAGCCAATGTGTGAATACAGTCGGAGTTGGAGTTGCACGTGCATGGGCCACTAAAATGAAATCTTCTTCCTCGAATGGGGGCTCGCCTCTTTGCATCTATTGGCAACTGTATCTATTGTATAGGCCCATTGCCGGCAAATATAATGGAGACTGGAATGGCCATTTCTGCTATATTAGCCGTCATCAGTCAGCCATATTTAACCCCAGGTGCTGTACCACTCGAAGTGACTTGTTGATCAGGAGTCAAACGCTCTAACCGTTAAGTCAACGGCTGATTGTCTAGTCGATTTACGTCCGAAGAATTGACATTCGTTGATAAACGCTCACAGATTGCTAACGGCAACTTTCATCAACCTACATTTCTAAGAGCTGTGCGACTGCTGTCTGAGCTCAGGAATGAGTCTTGAGGCTGAACGGAGCGAGTGTGTTCTAATGGCGATTGGTGCTTGTAATGATTACCTGTTGCATACATAAACTTGCAAGTTGTCTCTGGTGGACTGGTCCATACCGCTATTAAGTACAAAATCCAACTTTTACTACATTACATTGCGTTTTCTTGGCTTTTCCCAATTCCTGTTGATTAGCATAAAGCGATTTTCTGTAGGATTTCAGTCCGGGATTTTGGTCGGAATAAAAGTGTTTTGCAAGCCGCAGGCGCAGAGACCGGTTGTGCTCTAAATAAAAACGGGTTTCTGCTATTGCTTTTTGCGTATGTCTCTGAGGAAGAATCCGCGACGGTTATTGAAACTTCAGGCGAATGAAAGTGTTGTCCCAGCGATCGAGTCGTCTTCTTCTCAGTTTACTGCCTTTTATACTCCGACAGGTAGGAAATTATTTAGTAATCAGGAAAGTCCTATTTTGCATGAAACCGCCTGGTTTTGCTTTAGTAAAGCTACTGCTTTAAAAGCCTTCTTCGAAAAAAGACCCTCTGCCCGTATAATTATTCTACTTAACAAAACTGACAGCACGCCATGTTTATTATATTACTTATTCACCTTTTCGTTACTAAATTTACTAAATTGCGTTGCATGTACGTCGTTGGCCTTTGCTGTTTATCAGTTAACTCAAATGTATAGATCATCCTATTTCCCTAATTAGTTTCAAAATGATTGATCGAACCTTGTCCGTGCAAAATCCGCGTCAATTTAAGCGACAGCTCAACGCTTCGATTGGATAAAGTCGGTAATTGCTAGAAGTTCGTGTGCCAATCGCTCATCGCCCTTTCGCGCCTATAGGCAGAAGCCTTACACGATAAACTTACGTTAGTTAAGATGGAACTTGCACCTTCTTCTACGCGCTGACTACCTTCCACTTACACGACAGGACACTGGCTTTCATAAGGATAGTGTTCTCATTCCCGGAGTAACTGGGGTGTAAATTTAGCTCTTCTTTCCGAATGAATGAAAACGTTCGCGTTCCAGGTATCTGCACGGATAAGGAAGAAGACTTGTCGAGCACCGAATCAATTGGTTGATGACCGCTGACAGTTGATTGGCCTATGGCCAATAGAAGTACCCTCCTTTTGGTTGCCGCTTCTTATCTCTGAAGATGGACACCTGTAAGAGTTCGAAAGCTCAGGACAGTAAACCAATTGATCCAGTGCTCGACCATTCTTTTTCCTTATCCATAGCTCTTTTTAGTTAGGGAGTATTCTTCACATTTATAAGAAGCAGCTGTGATCGCTGGAACAAGAGTTTTATTGGATACTAGCGCGGAAGCCCGGCTTCGCCTTGGGCTTCCTTACATGTTGTTGTCCCTTATGTAGGTAAACCGTATATGAGAACCTCGTAAAATAATTATGTTCACTTCAGTTTTATTAGGGAAATATAGGTAAATACCT